CGCGGGGCGAGCGCGGGGAAACGCGGGGCTACCTATCAACATGTAACTCTTTCAAATTCAACACATTTCAAAATTGTCTTTGTCTCTACCTTATTCCCACCCTCTCCTGTTCTCTCTCTCCTCTGACAATGTGTGTGTGTGTGCGTCTCTCTCTCTCTCTCTCTCTCTTATTCACAATTAGTCATACATTTCCGAATCCATCAGAGCAATCAGCTCTCTTAAATTGCATGCCCCCTCGTCTTCATCCTTTTCTTCCTCAAGGTCCATGAGTTCAACGAGCCCTTTTAAATTTTCTGCACCCGGATCTCTCTCTTCCGGCCACGGCATTTCACAGCCATCGAGCCCCACGCAGTAGGGGAGGGTCTTGATGCCATCCGCGAGTATTTTTCTTTTATTTTCGAATGCCGACAGACACCTCTTCTTTTGGTTTACAGTGTACACGTTGTGTTCACCATCACTCTTGATGGCACAAAATGAGATCTCATTTGTTAAACCTTCAAAGACACATTTTTTATAATCTGAAAATGCAGTGTGCTTGTTTAGGGCGCTAGCCGGGATACCTTTGCATCGTCTCATGATTTGGAGATCTTGCTCGATACCCGGGGCTGAGCTCGGCCCTGGCATGGACGCTGGATGGACAATGTCTGGATTTTCTGTGGGCAGTGGAATATAATTGATGGCGTAACATTTTGATTTGATGGCGACCATTTCGGTGATGGTCTGTTTTCCCAGCTCAATTTTTAAGTATCCAGGCACACGATCCCTGCTCGTGTCATAGAGTGGGTGCCATTTGGGCAGAGAAGAAAAATCAAACATGTAACTCAATTCTTTTAAATCTTTGTCCAGTTCAGGTGTAGTGACTTTGCACAAAATCGAGTCAGTGTCAAATGCAATGACCTCCATTTTCTTATCCTTTTGACTAGAAAAATGAGTTTTCATCTCCCAAAATAACTTGGTAATATGGAGCTTGGAATAATCAAGAATCGCACTCGCGACGAAAATGGGCTGACACAAGTTAACTACCTTTTTCAGACTCTCTACAGCGCACATATCTTTAGAAAAAATACGGAAGCCTTTGTAACTTGCTTTGCTTGTCAATTTCAAAAATTCTTCCTCAGTCTGACATATTTTTATAGTGCGGTCAGCTCTAGGCCGACGAAGAAAACTGCCATAAAGGGAATTTGCCATTAATTTCCAGTAAGACGACATGAAGGAAGTTGTGGCCTCTCGCCTCTGATTCATAAGAAAATCGATATAGGACTTAAGCCATTCCTCCGTCCTGTATTTTATGCCCCCGTGAAAACGGGTGACCTCCATTCCCTTTTCCAAATAAAACTCTAGCAACGTAGAGTGAATCAGGTAATTTTTCCTCGGCCCTATGACACTCATGAGCTTTCTGGTTTTCTGTGCCTGGTTAAATCCAGTTGCATCGGCCACTCTCTTCTGATATTCTGAAAACCATGCCGGGTCCGGACATATGTGTGTGGGAGCTAGCGGCCAGTCCTCATGGTGTGATGTCTCGCCGGGCAGAATGCCATAGGCCAGGTCCACTTCAAGCAGAGCTGCATACGAGCTCTCATGAAGCTCTCTCAAATCCAAAGCTGCACATTCTTCAGCACACAAACGAGTGAACTCGCCCGCCGGGATGGATCCCGCGAGGCAATACGAATACAAGGCATTTACATCTGCATACAATATATGAGAAATTTCTTCTTCTTTATTAAAGTCAGGAGTGAATCTATTGTTGGCCTTGGCATGCCGTAGCACGGCCCCAGACAAACCACCACGGATACTCTTTTCAAATTTTAAAAATGTATCTGGGCAAGTTATGAGCGGTATCTGACAATTTGATTTTTTTATCGCACACGCCAAGCTTAAACTTGGTGTGCTTACAAAATGGCTGACTTCGTAATTGAAGGCGAGAGCTGTGACCTTTCTGTACTCAAGATAGAATGCCATAAGCCCGATCACATCTGTCAAACAATATAATTCAGTATATGTCAGCAGTGAATCGCACTCGAAAACGTTCCACACCTTTTCTGCCCTCTGGTAATCCTCTTCGCTGACCGCTTCTTGTTTCAGACGGTTGTAGAAGGCCTCTCTCTCTGGTAGTTCTTTTTGATTTTTTACCCTCTCAAAAGTGGTGAGGAAATCATAACACATGACTCCTTTCTGCTTTAGCAAGGATTGCTTCTCCTCTTCAGGGAAGACTTGCCGCAGAAGAAACCAATTGTCGTCTGTCAAGCTTTCCAAGAGGTCACTGAGATTTGTGCTGAAATGTTGATAACTATCTAAAAATCTGATCTCGCGCTTGGCCTTCTTTTCTATAACCAAGGTCATAGTTCTATATACCTCCATATTACGGGGCAAAATGTTGATGTCACAACTTCTAAATTTTTCATGGGTGCTTGCATACTTCATGATCATATGCAGATCAAATTTTGCTGAGTTATGACATATGGCAGGAAGGAAAAGGGCTTTCGAACGAAAGCTGTTGCACGATCTGTGAGCTGCGCCCATAAGATTGGAATGCTCCAGGAGTGGAGAATGATCATGCACCTTGAGATCTTCGGGATCTGTAAAGCCTTTTTGGCAGATCCAGCAAGTGTCTGCATTTTTAAAGTCCTTCTCCTGCTGCTCGGTCATGTTGATTGGATAGTTGGGTCTTTTAGAGAAACATTCTTGCTCGATGTCAAAGATGGTATCAAGAAAGTGATGAATGAGTTTCTCGGGATCACTATCCGAGTAGACAATAGGCTCCCGCAACAAATTCCCTTGGGAATCGACAACCACCACACCATAACAAAAGGGAATGTGCACATTCGTCCTTTGGGTTTTCTTCCCTCCCTCATTCCCTCCCTTCTTCTTTCCTTCTTCTTCCTCTTCTTCTACCGGTGTGCATAACGTTTCAAAATCGTATGCCACAAGAAATGGGACGGGAGACATCTGTCGAATGTGCCGTGGACCGAACTGTTAGAAGCTGCCAGGAGGTGGGTACTTTATTTTCTGTCCACCAAACTCTCGACACTCTCGCTCATGGTTGACACACCTTTCCTTTGTCATAAAAGAGTTGAAGCAATAACAACAGAAGTGCTTTTTTTGTTTGTGTTTGTTCTGTGAAAATAAAAGGGTGTCTAAAGATGTGCACAGTACAAAATGTCTTTTTCTCCTTTTGGTCAGCATCAGCAACGTGATGTGCGTTTCCTTTCTTTCTTCTGGACAAATGAGAGGAAACAGCTCCTTTTTTTCTACTCCAATCACGCTGAGACTGAAATTCTCATTCAATTTGCTGAATTTCTTGACATCTTTTATTTTCATGTTACTGGATGGTATGTCTCTGAACTCTATAGCGTTGTAGTGAGCCGCGTACGAACGAGGGTCAGTTTTACGGATCTCTGGCCGATGGAGGTGTGCTAAGATACTCAGTCTGAAACACTCGTGATTGTCTTTAGTCTCCACATTAACAATGATTTGTTTTCGTGCGAGCCAAACCGGAGTCTTTATGTAACTCCCTCCTTTCAAAGGCTTGTACTTTGCTAGACTCAACTCATAATAGTTGATGTGACTAATCACCCATGCACTTCCTTGGATTTTTAAATTTTCTGCTGAATTTAATATATCAAGGAAAGCTGCTTCAACCTGCTCTGTTTCCTCTTCGGAGCCGACCAGTATGGCGCGGGTCTCTGAAAACAATGTTTTTGTTTCTTTCTCCACGCGGACTGCTCCATTCTCTTCAGTTTCACGGCTCGCTTCTATGCTTACACTGATTGACCACTTGAGCCCCCGGGCAAGCTCGAGTTCTTCTCTGAGCTTCTTTACAACTGCACTTTTATTGTGAATAAGAGAGAGACCCAGATCTTCGGCGCTCCCGCCCGGATAAAATTTTATGACGCGAGCAACACCTCTCAGAGCGAAGCTTGCTTCATCCCAAACTCCAATGTCTTCGGTGTCGGGAAGGTCTCCAAGTCGGCGGTCGGGGACACTCCCACCCCGAAGCTGATTATGTCTCCTACGACATATTTTCACATGCCTATTTTTTTCGTGCAGCGTGGCAAATCTTTTGCGGCACACGAAGCAAGTGTACTTAAGCACATCATTTTTCATCTGACATCTTCTTTGATGGGCTACAAAGGACCGTGGCTTTTTGAAACCCAAAAGACAAAACGGACATAGCCGAACTGCCAAATGTCTTCTCGACTGGTGATCATACAAGCGGTCCAGAGACTTTGCCAGATAATTGCATTTGGCACACTTAAACCTTTTATCATGGAGTTTGGGCCCATGCACCCTATTTAAATGGGCTGTCAAACCTTTTTTATGTTTGTAAACAACATCACACACGTCGCATTTGTTATTCTGTTCATGAGATTTTACATGTCTGTTAAAATTGGCTTTACCCTTAATTGCTTTGTTGCACACAGTACACATATACCCATTATCTTGATGAGTGAGAACATGCTCTTTTAATTTAGCAGGTCTATTGAACTGTTTCCCACAAGTGGGACAAGTAACGTACTTGACCATGTTGTTTTCTTTTTAGCCATTTGTCGTGTCACATTCGGGAAAGGAAACCATTGTACTCAACCTCACTCACCGTACAAGGGATAAAGCACATCGATGGATGTGCGGACCGAGCGAAGCGACACGGGGACGGAGCGGGAGAGGCGAGCTGTGCGCGTTGGCTACGCAGGGCCGGGGCCGGGCCGGGCCGGGCCGGGCGGACCACGTGAGGTCGCCAAAGCCGGGCTGAGAGGGCGGGGCGACACAAGGAGGCGAGCCGGCGTCAAAACTCGATGCACGGCATAGTCGTAGGTCCGGAGCGGAGCATCACATACACAAACACTGTGTAGCACTAGAGCATGGCGCCCGCTCACACAACACACTACGTTTATTCGCGCACAAGGAATGAGCATCGTCCCTGCACCGACGGCTGCCCACAACTGACCAGCTGACATAAGAGCAAGAGTGCGTATCTATGACGCCTCGCCCCTCACCGCTCCATGCCCCGCCGCCCTGCTCTGTCCACCACGCTGCGAAAACTCTAAGGCTAGCGTATATTGCACACCTGTCGTTAATAGGCGAGGCCCTCCCGGCAAGCGCGTGTCCGGCGCGGGTCACTCGTCCTCAGCGGAAGCAGCTGTGCTCCGCCGCGGCCGCGAGGCGGTACCTTCCGAGAGGGAGAAGGGGGGGATGGGGGGGCATCGCTGCATAGATCATGATCTTGACACATCAAACCGACACGGTGCGGCCCGACCCGGCCCGAGCCTGCGGCAAAGTGTGGCCCACTACGTTCGGGCAACCTGAGAGAGGGGGAGGG